ACCTTCTAGTGATTCGTTATTTTTATTTTTAAAGACTTATATTTTTTAAAAAAATATTTATTTGAAAGTGAGAGTTACAGAGAGGGAGAGACAAAGAAAGGGTTATCTTCGATCCCCCAGTTCACTCCCCAGATGGCTGCAACAGCAGAGCTGGGCCAGGCTGAAGCCAGGTGCCAAGAGCTCCATCCTGGTTTCCCACAGGGGTGCCAGGGCCTAAGCACTTGGGCCATCTTATGGTGTTTTCCCATGCACATTAGCAGGGAGCTAGATCAGAAGTGGAGCAGCCAGGACTCCATGGAACCAGTGTCTGAATGGGATGAGGATCCAAGGTGGTGACCTGACCCACTGAGTAACAATGCAGGCCCCGAGAGGTAAACAAATTTTAAGTAGTATAAAGGGGCCCTCCCTGGTTTTGGCAGAGCAGTTTAAGCTACTGCAAGCCACAGGGGCATGCCATATAGACTGTCAATCAAGCCCTAGCTGTTGCACTTCCAGTCCAGCTCCCTTCTAAAAAGCCTGGGAAAGCAGGGGAGACAGCCTGAGTCAACATGTCCACATCATCCAACAGTCAAGATGCTCCTATCCCACACTGGAGTGCTCAGCCCCTAACTTCAACTTGCTGCTAATGCAGACCCTGGGAGGCAGCAAGTGATGGTTCAAGTAGTTGCAACTTATGTGAGAAATCTGGATTGAATTCCTGGCTCCTAGCTTTGGCCTCATCTCGGGACATTTGGGGCATAAACTAGAGCTTGGGATTCTCTCTCCCTCTCTCCCTTTCTCTCTCTCTCTTTCTCTCTCTCTCTCTCTGTGTGTGTGTGTGTCAAATATATATGTTTCAGAAAAAAAGAGCCACGAGACCAGAGTGAGACAGTTTGGAACACAGAACAGGAGGCAGTCTGCCATAATCTTCTAAAATGCAAAGGCATAGCTGAAGATGCTTTTTACATGGTGCCTACAGCCGTGGCCATGAGAGGGGAGGTGACTATGAAGGGGCCCAAGCTGTCTTGTACAATCAGATCTTTGTGTTCGGAAGTGGTGTCTGACAGCGGAGTGAAGGATGGGTGTGATGAGCCTGGAGAGGCTGGCACAGGGAGATAATTCTGGAGACCACGGCAGCTGCTCAAGCAACAGATTAAACAGCCATAAGCAGTGTTGGGAGGGATAGAATGGAAAAGCAAGGAACAGAAACGGATACTGGATAGCTTGTGTAGTTGAAACAGATAAGGGAACTAGGATCAATAATGCCACTAACAGAGAGGTGAGAGACAAGGAGAATGTACCAAAGGCTGCCAGTGATCCAGAATCCATTCTCAACTCCTTTCTTAGCATCAGAACGATAGCTGAGCACACAGCTGCCCAATTACATGAAATTTTCTAGTCTCCTTTGCAACTCAGTGTGGCCAACAGAATACAAGCAAAGGTGATATGTGTCTTCCATGCACAGCACATAAAACCTGCCCCACAACTCCTCCAGTTATCCCACTGTCTTGCCCCCTTCCCATAGGCTAGAAAGGTTAATATGAATGCAACCTCAGAAGTCATGTGTTAAAGATAACAGAGTCACCATCAACCTGGGTCCCTGACCTCACCTGACGGGTGGGCACATTTCTATCTTGTTGAGCTATTACATTTGGGATCTGCTTGTTACGGTATTTGACAGTCAATCCTAACTAATCCAGAGGGAAAAGTTTGGGACGTAGGGGATTGGGAAGGTTAAGAATCTGGTGTGGGGGCAGGTATTTGGCCTAGTAGTTAACATGCAAGTTGAAACATCCACATCCCATATCAGAATACCTAGGTTCAATATCTGCATCTGACCCTGACTCCAGCTTCCTGCCAATGGATACTCTGGGAGACAGTGGTGAAGGCTCAAGAAGCTTGGTTCCTGCCACCCATGTGGGAGACCTGGATTGAGTTCCTGGCTTGTGGTTTCAGCCCAGTCCCAATTCTGGCCATTGTGGACTTTAGGGGAATGAACCAGCAGAAGGGTGCTCTCTCCCTCTCTTTCTATCAAATACATTTTTAAAATTTGATTTGTTACTGTCACAATCAGAATGTAGATTGAACTAGTTGGATCCCCAGGGGAGGAAAGAAAAAAAAAGAATGAAAGAGTGTGTCTATTAAGAGGGCAGAAGAATCCCAGAACATGAATCTGACACAAAATGCAAAGGGATGCATGGTGGCTGGAGCTCTGAGACCCATCATATCTACAAATGTGCCACTGATCAGAAGGGAAGGTCATATCCTGAGTGGACGATAAGACCAGAAAGCATGGAACAGGAATCATGTGGTATTCTCAGTTCTCTGATGTCACATGTGAAGTGTGTAATACTCGTTGCTTCTCCACTCTCCCAGAGTCTGGTCCTTCACCTCTGCAGAGGGACAGCAGGTTCTGTGACTCTATTCCCTTTCCCTTTCTGCAACTGACTAGCCAAGAGGAGAAGAGCTAACTATTTGATCTCAACTTGGCCACCCAAATTCTCCCTCCTGAAAACTTGGAATCGGGTCTCAGAAATTTCAATTAGTAAACTGCAAGTTAGAGACAGATGAGGTAATGTACACTTGTAATTGAAAATGCCCTGTAAGAGTACTATCGTCAGGGCTGGTGCTGTGGTGCAGTGGGTTTAAACCCTGGCCTGCAGTGCCAGCATCCCATGTGGGTGCTGGTTCAAGTCCTGGCTGCTAAACTTCCGATCCAGCCCTCTGCTATGGCCTGGGAAAGCAACATAAGATGGCCCAAGTGCTTGGGCCCCTGCGGCCACAGGGGAGACCCAGAAGCAGCTCCTAGCGCATGGCTTTAGATTGGTCCAGCCCCAGCTGTTGTGGCTATTTGTGGAACGAACCAGCCGATGGAAGACTTCTCTCTTTTCTCTCTCTCTCTCTCTGCCTCTGCGTAACTCTGCCTTTCAAATAAATAAATAAATAAATCTTTTTTTTAAAAAAAAGTACTATCTTCAGCCCACAGTGTGATGGAGATGCAGATATTATCTGTCTGCAGAATGTCAGAGGGAAGATAAATAGCCCCTAGCAACCAGAGCTTCCCCAATCCTGTTTCTGAATTCTGAGCATCAGGAGGTCCCACCCACCTGAGTTTGATCTGACAGCCCTGTATTTATAAAACAGTTTTCCTCTTTTGCTTTGAGTGAGTTTATTATGGGTTTCTATGAGTTGAACCCAAAGCAACCCTGATCGACACAATCTGTATTTGGAAGCACCTTCTCCAGCATCATCACATTGATCCTCGTAAGACCATGGGGAGGTAGATGCTATTATCTTCTCTTGTAGATGAAGTCTTGAGATACAGGAGTGATTCTAAGCCATCCAAGAAAGCAGAGAAAGCACTAGCACTATTGCACTTGTGAGCTGAGCTTCCAGAAGCCATTGTAGAAGATGAAACGCCTTGGTGGGTTTGTAAATTACATGACTGTGGCTTCATTGACTTAATTTACTTAAAATGTACTATTCGTACTCTCTGGAGAGGGGCGGCTGTTTGGCTCATACTTAAGACACCCATGTCCCATATCAAAGTGCCTGGGAAGTGCCTGGGCTTGAGTCCTGGCACCACTTCTCATTTCAGTTCCCACTAATGCACACCCTGGGAGGCAGCAGTCATGGCTCAAGTACTTGGATCCCTACACTCATCTGGGAGATCTGGATTGAACTCCTGGCTCCTCACTTCCCCAGCCTCAGCTTTTGCAGGTGTTTGGGGAGTCAACCAACGAGCAGAGGTTCTTTCTTTCTCTGTCTGTTTCAAATAAATAAAAGGAAAAAAGAAGGTTCTGGGGAAAATAGGATTCAAATCTATGGAAAGACAAAAAAGGAATCTTTGAAAAAAAAACCCAGGATTTAAGACTAGTGTTAAAATAATCTAATAAAATCAGAATTTAAAGAAAAAATGCATCAGGCATTTTTACTTAAAGAAAAAGTATCATTTTAAGTAGTGAACAAATACAAGTATACTAGTATTGCCAGTGTCATAGGAATAGGAAATAAATATCAAAACCTGGGTTTATGACCAGTAGCATGAGAGGAACATAAGTGGACAACTTCTGCAACTAACATGTGGAATTTGGAACAGTGAACAGATTTGCCACCAATCCACCATCTTTACATCCTGTTCTTCACATTGGAAAAATAAGAAGGAGAAAACTCTTCTTGGATTCAGATCTCAGTCTTCAGTTTATGCAAACAGACACCCAGGGAAAAAAAAAATTGGAAACTGCTCATTTTCTGCTCCTGACTACTCTGAATAATCACTTATGTAAGTGTTCATTTCTTCCTTCATTAAATTTTTAATGAGTCCTTCCCAGGCGCCAAGCTCTCCAGCGACACAGCAGAGGACAAAGATAGCTGAAGTCCCACTGTCACAGAGTGGAAGGCGGACAAAACACAAACGAGCAGAAGATGTCATGTTGCTTCAGTGTGAAGAAACAAACGAGTTTAGGGTGCAGGGAGGAAAGAAGGGAAAGCCTGTTCGATAAAGTGACATTTGAGAAGCAACCCGCTGGAAATGAGGGCATGGCCCATGGTATTTTCTATGCTCCAGGAAGAGGAAATGGCAAATCCAAAGGCTCCGAGGTAGGAATGTGCTGAGGATAATTTAGAGACAACAAGGCAACTAGTAAGCCAGAAACACAGTAAGTGGGTGCTTGGAGGCGGGAGGTAAAATCCAAGAGGAAATAGGGCCCAGATCACGTAAATTTTCTGTTACAGTATACACCAGCTTTTACTCCATTTGGGGTAAGTCCTCTATGAGCAGAGAGAGTTTCATCCTGACTTTGGCTAACTCTGATCACTTTGCTGCATGGGAAGAACTTCAGAGAAGCAAAAGGAGCACAGGACTGGCCATTGCACTTGGCCACTGAGGTCATTTTGAGAGGGATAGTTTTGGTAGAGTGGAAGATATGATGATTTGACTGGTGTGGGCTAAAAAAAGACAGACTCATGTATATGCATGCTGTATATTCACATGAATAAAATATGCACATACACACCTCAGCTAAGCAGAGAACAGATGATTTCTATTATCAGGAAACCAGTCTGGAAGTAGGCCAGGCAGGGGCCAAGGGTGAGGTATGACTGTGGAGGACCAAGCATACTAAAAAGGTACCAGAGGGGCAGGTATTTGGCACAGCAGTGAAGACATCACTTGGGGGCTGGCGCTGTGGCATAGTAGTTTAAGCATCCATCTGCTCTGCTTCTGATCCAGCTCCCTGCTGATGTGCCTGGGAAAACAATAGAAGACAGCCTGAGTGCTTGGGCCCCTGCACCTGTGCAGGAGACTCGGATGAAGCTGCTAGCTCCTGGCTTCGGATAGACCCAGCTCTGGCTGTTGCAGCCACTTGGGGAATGAACCAGCAGATGGAAGACCTCTCCCTCTCTCTGTAACTGCCTCTCAAATAAATAAATCATAAAAAAAAAAGATAGCACTTGGGATGCTCACATCTGATATCAGAATGCCTGGGTTCAAGTCCCATTTTTACTCCCAATTCTAGCTTCCCATTATTGTGTATCCTGGAAGGCAACAGGTGATGGCTCAAGTACTTGGTTTCTGGCCACCTACATGGGAGGCCCGGATTGAATTCCTGGCTTCTGGCTTCAGCCTGGCCCAGCCCCAGCAGTTGCAAGCATTTAGGGGAATGACCCAGTAGGTGGAAAATGTCAGTCTACCTTTCAAATAAAAATAAATTGTTTATTTTTTTTAAGATTTATTTTATTTATTTGAAAGTCAAAGTTACACAGAGAGAGAAGGAGAGGCAGAGAGAGAGAGAGAGAGAGAGTCTTCCATCCACTGGTTCACTCCCCAGTTGGCCACAACAGCCAGAGCTGTGCTGATCCAAAGCCAGGAGCCAAGAGTTTCTTTCCGGGTCTCCCACATGGGTGCAGGGGCCCAAGCACTTGGGTCCGCTTTTTTTTTTTTTTTTTTGGACAGGTAGAGTTATAGACAGTGACACAGAGAGAGAGACAGAGACAGAGACAGAGAGAGAGAGAAAGGTCTTCCCTCCATTGGTTCACTCCCCAAATGGCTGCTACAGCCGGCGCTGTGCCGATCCCAAGCCAGGAGCTAGGTGCTTCTTCCTGGTCTCCCATGAGGGTGCAAGGGCCCAAGTGCTTGGGCCATCCTCCACTGCCCTCCTGGACCACAGCAGAGAGCTGGACTGGAAGAGGAACAACTGGGACTAGAACCTGGCACCCATATGGGATGCCAGTGCTGCAGGCGGAGGATTAATCTAGTGAGCCACAGCGCCGGTCCCTTGGGCCCTCTTCTACTGCTTTCCCAGGCCATAGCAGAGAGCTGGATCAGAAGTGGAGCAGCCGGGACTCGAACCGGCGCCCATATGGGATACTGGCACTTCAGGTGGCAGCTTTACCTGCTACGCCACAGTGCCAGCCCCTTGTTTGTTTTAAAGATGCCACAGATGACTGCCCTCACCACTCTTTTCATTCTCTGGTTTTATACTACCTCCTTCAAAATCTTTTCTCAATTTTCACAATTATCAATCTGACAAATGACCTTAAACTCTATAGGGCAAGCATTGTGGCTCAGCAGGTTAAACTGATGTCTGCAATGTCAGCATCTCATATGAGTGCCAGTTTTGAGTCCCAGCTGCTTCACCTCTGATCCTTCTCCCTGCCAATGCGGCTGGGAAAGCAGAGGAAAATGGCTGAAGTATTTGGGCTTCTGCCACCCACGTGGGAGACACAGATGGAGTTCCAGACTCCTGGCTTTGGCCTGGCCCAGCCCTGGCTGTTGTGGCCAACTGGGGAGCGAACCAGCAGATGGAAGTTTTGGTTCTTTTTCTTTGTCACTATGCCTTTCACATAAATAAACAAAAATATCTTTCAGAAAAAAAGAGAGTAACCACTACTGGATAATGTGCTAGGAAAATTAGCACATAATTAGCTTTGCTTTTGAGTCTCTCATTTCAACTAATATTTTGCTTAGAAAATCATTGTAGAGACAACATGTTCTGTTCTCACCAAACAGATTCTCTTATTTACCAAATAAACATAATTATAAGACTTCATTACAAAGGCATAGTATACTGGGGCCGGCCCTGTGTCGCAGTGGGTAAAGCCACTGCCTGCAATGCTGACATCTCATATGGGCACCAGTTTGAGTCCCTGTTGCTCCACTTCTGATCCAGTTCTCTGCTATGGCCTGGAAAAGCAGTATAAAATGGCCCAAGTCCTTGGGTACCTGCACCCACATCAGAGACATGGAAGAAACTCCTGGCTTTTGACTTCAGCAGATGGAAGATCTCTCTCTCTCTCTTTCTGCCTCTCCTTCTCTCTCTGTGTAACTCTTTCAAATAAATAAATAATAAATAAATAAATCTTTAAAAACAAATGCATAGTACATTAAAAGGCCAATGCATTGCACTTCTATTATTTGTGACAAAAAAACTTTCCCAGTGCAGTCATGACAGTGTTCTTCAAACCTCATCAGCTTGCTCAGGGTCTCCTGTATCAGTGGATCAATTATAACTCAGGGTCAAATGACATTTGTTGCCTGTTTCCTTAATTCAAGATTAGATTTTCTGACCTAGGCTGTTTCAGAATAGTTTTCCTGCTTTTCCTTTACTGAAGAGATCCAAAAGTTACGATCCAACTTTCCAAAATAGTTAGGCCCTCTGTGGCCACAGGAGGACAGAAGAGAGTTGGTAATAAGATAGAATTCCGTCTACAGAACAGTCACTAAACAGTTCTGCGTTTAAACAGCACAGAAAGGCAGCACAAAGCCGGGACTGTCGGTTTTAATCCTGCAAAGTTTCAAACCATAGCTATAGTTCAAATTTACTTTTCTACATGCATACACAAGAACTCTAATCACCAAGAAATTGAACTGAACTCTAAATATGCATAGTTTACCTATTAAACATTTTGATCATTTTCATATTACCCACATAATAATCTGATTTTAACATTATTTTATTATAGAGTGTTTCAACAACTGTTTGTGCGGTCCAGATAGGTATTTTTTTTTATTTTTTTATTTTTTAGACAGGCAGAGTGGACAGTGAGAGAGAGAGAGAGAGACAGAGACAAAGGTCTTCCTTTTCCATTGGTTCACCCCCCAATGGCCGCTGTGGCCGGCGCACCGCGCTGGTCCAAAGCCAGGAGCCAGGTGCTTCTCCTGGTCTCCTCTGCGGGCACAGGGCCCAAGGACTTGGGCCATCTATTGCACTCCCAGGCCACAGCAGAGAGTTGGACTGGAAGAGGAGCAACCAGGACAGGATCCGGCGCCCCGACCGGGACTAGAACCCGGTGTGCCGGCACCGCAGGTGGAGGATTAGCCTATTGAGCCGTGGCACCGGCCTCAGATAGGTATTATAAGCATTAACAAGTAAAGAAATAGAAATGAAGGTAAAAGATGACCCAATTATGGTCACACACAATTACTTCCAAAGTCAAGATAATAATTTAAATCTGATCTTGTCCCAAAAAAACTAGCACTTTCAGAAAAGGTCCCCAGAAACACACAAGGACACATGCACTGCCTCTGTGACATATTCACCTTGACATCAAATATACATCCATAATCTTAAATTTTTGTATCCTCCAATGAGGCCAATTCCATGGCTCTAAATAAAATAAATGCAAAGTAAGATAAAGGGTTGCCTTAACAGTTAATAGGCTTGTATCCCATATCAAACTGCCCTGGGTTCAAGTCCTGGTTCTGCTTCCAATTCCAGCTTCCTGCTAATGAACATTCTGGGAAGCAGCAAGTAATGGCTCAAGTAGGCCACCTACTTGGGACACAGATTAAGTTCCCAGCTCGTGGCTTTGGCCTGACCCAGTCCCAGCTGCTGCATACATTTAGGTAGTGAACCAGTAGATGGGAGTTCTATCTCTGTCCGTATCTCTCTTTCTCTCTACCTTTCAAATAAAATTAAACAAATAAATGCAAAGTAGGTATTCAGGTGATAACCCAAGAGACAGCTCCTATAGTCTTCTACTAAGGGTCCTAACACATTTGACACAGCAACCTATGAATCTACAGCCCCTTCTAGGAGAAAAGTGTCCACCCCTGGGCCATGATGCGGGCTTCTGCTTAGAGTCCAAAAGAAGGAAGATGGTTTTCAGCCAAGCCAATTTTACACTTTCACTCAGAGATTAGAACTGGGAAGCACAGTAAGAACCAAAGGATTACTGTGAGTAGAGAATAGACAATGCAGAGAGAAGATGTTGGGGGACCAGCAGGCATTATGTGCTGGAGCGATGGGCCGTGGGCTCCTATGGCAAAGATATGCAAACATCCAAGATTCAAAATGGATCCCTAATTTCTGTTTACCCGGGACCCTTTCAAGGTCCCATAGTTTAGTTTTTCATGTCTAAAGGACTTGGCAGAACAGCTAAGAACTCTGTTACACCCATGAACACACATGCACACATATTCCACACATGACTTGCAGTAACAAGTGGGACTGTTCTTTACAGCCAAAAGTCTTTACCCAGCCACCGCCCACAGATGGTCTGGGGCAGCTTCAAATTATGTAAGAGATATTCTCCATATCCAATGTAAGGGCATATTCAAGCTCACATGAAACATATGATAGTTTGATTAAAGGTGTACTTCATTCACTCAGTATGAATTTATTGATTATCCACAATGTATCAGGCATTATGGTGGATGCTGGAGTCACAGACACAAATCAGCAATGGAGACAAATAAAATGGAGTTTCTGCATTTGAGGGGCTCCCAGTTTAATCTGGCTGCCTTAATGGTCAAGTCTCTTTTGCATATAGGTCATTCTAACAGAGCACATATTCTCATGATGAGATTAGGGTCAGAATACTGTATGATCAAGTCAGGGGCCAACACTGTTGCATAGCAGGTAAACCCACTGCTTTTGATGCCAGCATCCCCTATGTGCGCCAGTTCAAGTCCCTGCTGCTCCAGTTCTGATCAATTTCCCTGCTAATGTGTCTGCAAAAGCAGTGGAAGATGATCTAAGTCCTTGGCCCCTTGCCACCCACGCGGAAGACCAGGATGAAGCTCTTGGCTTTGGCCAAACTCAGCCCTGGCCATTGTGGCCATTTAGGGAGTGAACCAGCAGACAGAAGATTTCTCTCTCTTTCCCTTTCTCTGTAACTCTTTTAAGTAAATAAGATAAACCTTAAAATATTTTTTCAAACCTTTACCTTTCAAATAAATAAATAAGTCTTTTAAAAAAATAGTAGCAAGGGGCTGGCACCATGGCGCACTAGGTTAATCCTCCAC